TGCCGCCGCTCCCGCCCGCCGCCCCGCGCCGCCCCGCTCTCCCGCCGTGGGGGGGGGACTATGATAGAGAACCGGACCCCCTCCAGCATGTCAGGAGTCCTTAGGAATTCAGGGCACGGTCACCACCCCGCCCAGGACTACAGGTGAGGCCTTTCTCCCTCCCTTTCCAAACGGGATGCTCGCCGGTGTTGTGTTCTCCTGATTTCTCCCCCCCCCAAAAACCCCCTTACCATATAGAAATCAACTTCTTTTCTTTCTTTTTTAAACCTAACTGCATTATTTCTCCACTGTAAATTAAATCCCTATGCTGGCGAGTGGTTACAATGCATCTTTTTTAAACTTAACTGCATTATTTCTCCGCTATAAATTAAATTCCTAAACTGGCGAGCGGTTACAACACATTATTTATAATGCCGAGGTTTTTAGACCTTATTAATGCTTCTAAATATCTAAAGGGTGGTGTGAGGGAGGATGGAGCTGGACTCTTTTCAGTGGTTCCCAGTGGCAGGACAAGGGGGAATGGGCACAAGCTGGAACCTGGGAAGTTCCACTCAAACATGAGGAAGAACTTCTTTGGGGAGAGAGTGGCAGAGCCCTGGCAGAGGCTGCCCAGGGAGGGGGTGGAGTCCCCTTCTCTGGAGATCTTCAAGCCCCACCTGGATGCTCCTGAGTGATGTGCTCTGGGCAACCCTGCTTTGGCAGGGGAGTTGGGCTGGATGATCTCTAGAGGTCCCTTCCAACTCCAACAATTCTGTGATTCCTGTTTAAAGTACTTTGATTCTAAACTCTGTTTGATAATTACGCCTTCAAAGCCTTTGGTTGACCTTCTAGTAAACTCTCTTTGCTCTATGAGCGTTGCCAGAGAAGGTTGTTCTTGTTAAATAATAACTATTTAAAAGTTCCCTTTCAGATCACATTTTGCATTGCTCTGAAGCAGTCATGGAGAGACTAAATCAAGTGCAATAGACACTAGAAACAGTTTTTGATTAAAGCAAGTGCTTACATAGTGTTCCAGAGCACTGAGTTCTGTCAAAGTTTTTCTAATATCAGTGGGAACAAATCTGGATTTGTCAAGAGCCTTTGATAATTTACCTGTGCCTCTACACAGCCCTTTACCATTTGAGAGCATCGTTAGAAGTCACGGGATGGCTCTGCCCGAATTACAGAGCACTGGGTTAACTTAGGTTACATCTCGTCACATGATGCGAAATTCCAAGAAATACAGAATAGCAGAACACAATCCAGTTCTCACTGTAAATAAATAAATAAATCGATAATGCATTCCTGTTTTAAAATGAGGAGGGAGACAGTATTGCCTTCCTCCCTGCCTGGAGGGGGGGGTTTCCACCCATTTCTGTGGGTAAAACTGGTCGGCTGCAGGTATTCCTCTGTCAGCCCCTCTCTATCCGAAACGCAAGCGCTGCGCTGCAGCCTCTTGCAGCTCAACAAGTGATTTGTTATACTCCCTGAAGCCACTGTGGAAAAAGGTTTGTGGAACTCTGTTTTGCTGCTTATCTGAGCACTGTTTGCTCTAGGCATTTTGGGTGGCTGTGTAAATATTCCTGAAGAAATTATTCGGTATTTAATGAAGGGTGTGTATGAGAGAGCCTTCTGGGTATTTATATTTCAGTCTGTATCTTCTGTGCCCTGAAGAACATACCACCTTAACAAAGACCCTTTGAATGGAGAGAACTATTCTTTAACTCAGAAGCTGCAGAAAAACACTCTTTTTTGAGAAAGATAGGATTTATCTTACTGCCAGTGAAAGAATTGTAAGAGTTTCTTCTTTTATTCAGAAGTCAGCTGCTCTTAAAAACTAATTTCAGTTCTCTGTTAAAGATTTTCAACTCAAAGATCCCAGTCCCCTAACATTTTTAACCCACTTGTGATTTCTTTAATGCAGCTTTAAAATGAATCATTTGACCTCATTTAATAGTGCCAAATTCTGATAAAAATGCATAAAATCTGAACCGCACCATAAATGCAGAGCAGTATTTGTCCTACTTCATGAGAAAACACTTTGGATTATGTAAAAGAAAATCTTTTAGACTGAATGATTTTAAGAAAAGAATAGACCTGTCAAATTCTATCAGCTCTGTTTACTCTCCTGCTGTCACCACAGTCCAAGACTGGAACCCACAGTCCCGAGTTCTCCATGGGGGAGCATCAAGGCTCCACAAAATGGGGAATGGCCTCCAATTAGTGAGTGGGAGGCTGGGGCTGTGCTGAGAATACTCTTCTGTCTCACTCAGAATCTTTCAATGGGACAGTTGGACTTGGAGGAGACCGGGCTTTCCTGCGAGTGTGCGGGAGGAAACGCTGAAAAGGGAGGGAGGGGAGTGTGTGGGTGTTTGAGCAGGGGATCAGATCACCAAATGCTGATAAGTTTTCACTCAGCTTCTGCTCACGGCTTGAAACGATGGGATTTATTTTATTTTATTTAATTTTTTTTAAATGGACGAGGGGAAAAAAAAAAATCCCTGATTTTCACAGATCTTGAATTCTGTGGATCCAAAGCATCTATAATAAAAGTGATGTAGCACGTAGAGTAGTGATGAGGAACAGACTCCAGGGACTATCTGCACCATAGTAAAATGATTTTAGACAAATATCTCTTCCACTGTGGGATATAAAGCATCATGCTGTTCAGGAATGATGAAGGGCCATCATATCTTCTCCGATGCCTATGTTTTTATGGTTCTGTCACTGCCTGGCTACCAATGCAAAGCAATACTTCATAGGAGCAGATGCCTATCTTAGTCTCCCAAAGAAAATACCGTTACCTTCAATATTTTCATAATTGTACTAGTGACAAATATTTCTAATTATTTCATTTCAAATTTCAGGGAATAAAAGCAGAGAATTGTAACACACTGGGATTTTGTAACCCTTAACACTGTATTCTTGTTAGTTATAATTAATAGCCTAACATTATGTTTTAGTGCAAATATTTTGACGTTTAAATCAAAGCACTAAGCAGACTACGCTTTTACGATGCAGCGGAGAGTTCTCAGTGTCTTGGAGCTGGTCTCTGAGAAATTCTGAAGGTTCTTCAGCTCATGAACGCTGTGGTCTTCAAGCCATATTTTTAATAGAAATCTGCAATCTAACCTTTTCCAGTCTAATTTAACACATATAACCAGTGCAAGGGGAGTAGATGATGTATAGAAGTGTGGAATCAGATTTACTGGGCAGGTCTCGAGCAGTAGAAGCCCCAGGGAGGCAGAGGAGAGGCCAAGGTGGTCCTGGCCTAAGACCACAAGAACACTACGGACCTAAAAGTTCTCTCTCAAAGAAGGCTCAATATTATCCTAATTCAACATTCTTAGTTTTTGAATGCAGCACCCTGCTTATTTTTCTCAGGGACTATCCCACTCCCTAAGTAGGGACAGTTATGTGTGGTTTATTATATATCATATAATAATTCATGACCTAAAACCCAGGCCATTGGAAGGGATTGTCTGGCATATGTGAAAATCCAAATTTAAGGAATCCAATCATCACTCTAGCTGACAATGTGGCATCTATTTTTGAAAGAAATAACTAAAATGTATAATTCAATTTGAAGAAATAATGTTACTTAAGAAGAAAAGCTAACCCTAGATCAACAAGATAAATTAACTTCATGTTTTGCGACTCAATCTTTTGTGTAAGGACCATGTTTGTCTTTGGTATTACTATGTACGTCCAGTTATTAGAAGCCTTATGTAGTACTTTGAAGGCCTTGCAATAGATTTTCTATACATGTTAAACAGGAATTAAGTTTTAAATAGATATCTTTTCGGTCAAAATTTGTTGCTCAATTGTTAATGGTTCGATGTATTAGTAGACTGTATCCTTAATCCCGTTTTAATTGCCCCTTTGGTTCTTAAAAAATCGGTCTATATCCATTAGCTAATACTCAGATTAATTTTTTTATTGTACTAATTTCTTTATGCTAGCATGGTTAGCATAAAAACATATTATGAAGCATAGGCACATAAAGACACAACGGCTGTATTCCATATATTCTGGATGTGAGTGCATTGCAGTGGTGGAAAATGGTGGAAGGTCTTTTTCTTTCTGACACACGGTGCATTTTAGCTCTCCTGAGTGGTGCTCTCACCTCTGGCTTTGCATTTGGTTTCTGGAGAGCCAGCTACAGCTCAGGCCTCCGGACTGTCACCTCCAGGGATGGACGGAGTCTGGGAGTTTGCATGAAGGACATTTCTGCAGACAAAAGGTTACAAATGCATAACTAACGAAACCGTAATTGTTCCTGGAGAAAATGTCAGTGTCCATTCCCTTGACACCATGTGTGTCTGACAGGGAATGAGATAATGACTCGATGTGTCGGAGGAATTTCATCACAGTAGTTGCTTCATTCTTTCAAAAAAATGTGAGAAACCTCCTAGGAATCAGTCAAACTCGGGCCACTGTGGATTGATTTAAGTGGATTAGCTCGACTGTTTCCTATGCCGTTCCTGAAATGTGCTAATCGGTATTAATAAAAAAATTGTGGCCCTTGCTCCTCAAATTGTCTGGCAGTTGCAGGCAGAGCTGGGAAGGACTGGTTTGGACCCAGGCAATATCTTCCAGGCTCCTCAGGCTCGTCTGCCTCTGGTGAAACCAGGACTGAGTTCATCATCTCTTACCTCAAAAAAGGCGCTTGACCTCCCGTTCTAAACAAGAAAGCAGAAAAGGAATTTGGATGTTTTGAGAGTTCCTGTGACATCTCAGTGTCACACCACTCGTGCCCACACCACTCTTATTTTAGTCATTTTAAAAAAAACTCCGGTGTGTGGAAAACAGAATTGCTGCACAATCGCAGCAGCACCTGGTGCAAGCGAGAGGTGTTCTTACAACAGTGCAAAACAGAGGGCAGAGTATTTTTTTTATTCCCTTTACACTGGAGTAAAGAACTACACAAGGTCCCAGGCAGCAAGATCACTTCATGGCTAGTAAACAGCGTTTGAAGCAACGTTAAAGGGAAAAAAAATAGCTTCCCAGGTAGACAATGGAACTGATTTTTATAGAAAACATTCCTCTAGTGCCAGGTAATTCAACATATTTTTGCATTGGGGAGAAGCTTATTTTGACTTTAGCCACGGATGGTTTTGGGTTTTGTTTTTTCTTTTTGTTTTTTTTTAACAAAACTGATTGC